GTACCTCCTCGTGGTGCATCCTGGGCAACGTATGATCATACGGGAAAAAAGTCTATTAACAGGCAGTTGACTTCTCACTTCAAACAACCATCACCCCCACTGTATGTCATATTCGATCCCTACCATAGTACTCATCTTACCCTTTCTGAGCCTTTGTGTCTGTCTGTTTCTTTTACATCTGTGAATCACTCTTCTGTTCCCCCTCTCCACCTTTTCTCACTTTGATGTTCCTTCTCCCCTCTGTGAAGCCCAAAGCCAACTAAAGGGCTAATGATAACTATCAAAACGCCTGCCATTTGTTATAAATAAATGATCTCCTCCATTTAAGACAAGTATGTGTTTTCTGTGAATTATAGTTTATCTAGTTTTATGAACCTATTTTTGCCAATATGGTCTAGTCTGGATCGTGCTGAAACTGACCGATCTGTAAAACAATGTTGTGAGGCAACAATTTTAGGGGCTGATTTCCTTGATTGTCTTGAATTTACGTTCGTATGCTTTATTACCAGTTCAAGCTATTTCAAAAGCTTTCCTGTTAGAACGACAGCACAATTTCTCTATTTTTCCCCTGGACCATGAAAATTTCGTGTTAAGTTTTACCAAAAATTATTCCAGTTCATTTCTATTCTCGACCACATTCCCATGATTACTTTTAAAAGACAAAGTAAACAGAAATCCCAATAGCTGTTGAGAGAAAAGGATGAAAATATTTAATATATTGATATATTTTGAAAAGTTATCCAGTTTCGTCATACAAATTGTGAATTTGAAAGGCGGTTTATTACCTTTAATTATAAAGACACTATTAATCTGTTTAATTTCTAGAGCTGTTAAGTTTTTTACTTATATCAAGAAAATTTGTTTGCAAAAACTTGCTTTGAAAGTGGATGTGCGCTTAATATGCTCCTTATAATTTTACGCACCATATTTGCTGAAATTATCGTAAACTTTCAGCTAATTTGTTTTTTTCAGCATGGGTTTAAAAGGAATTTTCAGACAAACACTAAAGCGAAATCGATTTCATTCATTTTTAGCATTATCTAGTACTTTGATATCGCTGATTTAAGTTTTTCTAAAACGCTCGATTCATTTAAAGAACATTGGCCTTAATTTTCCACTTTTAACTGATTGGTTAATTAGCCAAGGATCTATTTGAACACAATTGGTCGGTCTGACCTGCGCTGTTTTAAATCATTTTTCTTCACAGCTGCTAGCATTTTTAAGGGCGCTCATACTTAGTATCTGTTTCTGTTTATCAATTTTGATATGAAATGGAGGTTACAATTGTGGGCTCAATGAATACAGATTTGATGTGGTAGGCAATTTTCGCTCTCCTTTCTCTATCTCAATAAAGCTACACAGAAAAGTTTCCCTTACCTGGTGAAACAATTAAAGGGACTAAATTTGCCACTGGATTTGGTGGAAAAGGAGCCAATCAGTGCGTTGCCGCTCGGAAACTCGGTGCCATGACATCACTCGTTTCACGCGTATGTCATTTCTCTCTTTAATCTATTTTCTTTTTACTTCATCCAAGGTGGGCGACGACTACTTTGGGAAAGATTATGTTGACTATCTAAAGCGCATTGGGGTCGAGACAGGTACGAACCTGGGTACAATTGCCATTAAGTCGTTACCTAGCCCCTAATGATTTTCTCACTTTTGTTCTCTCTTAAGGTGCCATTAGAGTTAGCCAAACAGCAGATAGCGGAGTAGCGATTATAACGGTTGAACACAACCATGGAAACAATAATATCGTTATAATCCCAGGAGCTAATGAAGAAATCTCGATTACTGATGTGGAAGAGGCTAAACACAAAGGACTTATCAGTGACAAAGTTATAGAATGTCAATTTGAGGTATGTTCAAATCTTTACACTTGCGTCTAATTCCCATGCACGAAAAACTCAATTCTTGCCATAGTCTCTGCATCTTATATCTCCCCTGTTAAGTCGAATGCCGAAGCGACCCTCTATGCTCTAGAACAAGCCAAGCGATCTGGACTAATTACAATCTTGGATCCCGCACCGGCTCCCAACATTGGTTCCCCTTTCCTTCCTCTTCTCAAACGATTTATGCAGGCTTCAACGATGGTTTGCCCAAATGAAACCGAAGCTGCTGCAATCACAGGAATCCCGGTGCCAGATTTCAAAGGGAAAAACTCCATTCAAATTGCTGAATCGGCTCTAGGATGGCTACTTAAACTCCAAGAGGATGGAGTGACGTATCCCTTGGTTACCCTTGGAGCTAACGGCGTGGTAGGTCTTCTCCCTAAATGTGAAGGCGAATCGACGAAAGCTGACGATGTAACAATGCTGAAATCGGACCTAATTACCTCTGACCGGGTTATCTTCCACATCCGCTGTCCTATCTACTCGAAAGTGGTTGATACTACAGGGGCAGGTGATTGTTTTGCTGGCTCCCTCGCCTTCTACATGGCTCGCTACCCTAATATTACAATCGTGGAGAAGCTGCGTCGATCAGTCTGGATTGCCAGTCAATCCGTCCTCCGACATGGCACCCAAGCCAGCTTCCATGGACGTGATGAACTCCCCAAAGAACTTTTTGAACCCAACGAATTCCACTGGCCGTGAACACGCATCGCTTCTACTTCTATATTTGAGTACGTATTTCCTTCTATTCTAACAACCGACCACCTAAATTGCATAACTGAAATAAATTACTATTTTTGCTCTATTCCCTTCTTTAACCTACCCAATAGGTAAGAAATAGAAGAAGCCAGACTATGGTATTGATACACTTTTATAGTACAAGTCGTAAAAGTACTCTTACGGTTTGACACACGAGTTACTTTCTGCGTTGTTTCTTTTCTTTCGGTTGGTTTTTCTTGGCGGTTTTCATTTTTCGTTTGGCTAAAAGAGAAGAAAGTTGAAAGATTCAATAGTTTTTAAAGCAACTTATGCGAGAAGTTTGCACCATCACATCACTCAACCACAATAAACATTGTCTCTGATACATTCCACACGAACGTACCGGCTTTTTCCGTTTCTCGCTTCTCTGAGAACCAGTTAGTTCGCTGGGGCCTGTAGACCGCCTCCTGATTTGCACCCTTATTTTTAGCCAAGTTTTCCGCCTTCTCCAACTGTTTTTGAGCTGCATTTAATTCGCGCTCCTCAATCTCTGCAGTTAGGATTTCCTCAACATGTGGTTTCACTTTGTCTATCAGTGTCTGAAATTTTGAGATGACATCTAGAATGGGGAGAAAAGTGTAAGTTAGGCCGATTGGAAGTTGCGAAACATGCTCTAGTTTGCTATAGTGCTACTTATGAAATCTTAATCCTTCCTGCGTTTGCGTTGACTACCAATTTAAAATCTGCTAGAATTCCTCCCTTGTCTTCAAGAAATACATGATATGTGGCTTCATCTTGAATTCTCAAATCCACTGCCAAATTGGTTGCGTTCTTTTACGATGATAGAACACGAAGTATAGGTGTTATGGACTAGGAAGACAGTCAGCTTTTCAGTAATAACTCTACTTAAGTAGATGGGTTCGACTTAAAATTTAGGCGTAGCGCATTAAGACATGAACATAGGCACGATCTAATTTTAACAATCTGGATTTTACGCACTCAAGTAGGTTAAAATTTGTGTCAGTCGCGAATATTTGTGTGGCATGGTGAATTTCATTAATAGGTTGAGATAGGCACTGATTCGGATAAATAAAGCTGTCGTTGTGACAGCTCTCTACGCCACATTCAATTCTGGCACACAACCAAGCGAGCACGCACATTTCACTAGAAACGTAAACATAGCTAACATTTAATCAGATTATGCTACGACTGCGTGCAATCAATGACAATGAGACAACAAGAGATACAGAACTCTTGCAGATATATTTGTACAGTGTTGTGTGGACACTTAAAACTAAACAGAAACAAGGGTACCGATCAGACTAATTTATCAAAAAATCAGCCAAAAACAATATCTACAGGGTATCAAAATAATCAAGGAACAGATTCCGATAATAGGATTTACAGCGAAAATGCCAATATAGTTGCACGACTGACACTTGGAATAAACTGTGAAGGGCTGTAGCAAGGCTGCCAGAAAAATGAGTGATCATCTAAGAAGCTTTTTAAATGTGATGCGTTAAAGACAAAAAAATGAAAGACAAGTTGGAAACCGTTAAGAAGCACTCCTCGTTATGTGTGCGTACTGCGAAAGCATACATACGGAATTTAAGCGTATACAAAAGAGAAGGTCTCAATCATACGGTGCCAAACACGAAGGGGACGATGTTTGACCAAACATAGTGACCTCATAGTTTGCTATAAAAATTAGCAAACTTGAGACCATTAAAAGACTAATCGTTCAACAATGTCAGAGAAATAGCATTCTAGCCAATCAATTCATGGATCCGATAGTCCTACTGGCCAACCGCACTAACTAAAATGGTCAGGCAACGTTCGTTTTCCAAAAGCAAATTCAGTTACGAACCCGAAACTAAGGTGATTTAGTCTATGCACGAACAACAACTAAACCTGAGCGAAGGGAGTCGTTCTATCAGTCACTAATAACTTATTTAAATGACAGCACAAAGTATGCGGGACATAATATAATACTAGCGGATACGGTCCGTTACCCACGTGTAAATGAGAACTTCGTTGAACGGATTTGTGATTTGATGGCAAATAGATTTTCAAATTCTATGAAAATGGGTACTTTAAATAAACATCTATCTAAGAATAATATTAAAACGAGTGGAAATAGAAAAGGCCATAAACGTCTCATTGGTTGTCAAACGCAATGATAGCGATGCTCTAACGAAGTAAAAGCAATTCTATTGGTTCCATTAAAACGTTAAATTAAATTTTTCGGGAAGCAACTTACCTGCAGGGATAACGCGAGTTTTGACGGGATAGGGGGCATCTTTGACGATGTCTTTAAGTAGCTTTCTATCCTCCTCACCAGCCAAAGAGACAGCTCTATAAGTAAGAATTAAAAAAGGCGATAATAAGTTTATATACTACTTAATTTTTTAGGAAGACATCCACAGCACAATTCTGGTTTATATGTGATGGCAAATTTATACAAAAAGCAAAAAACCGCACTACTTAAACAATTTAAGTAGAACGAGAGAGAAAGGAAGGACTAACCGGCCAGAATTGGAAGCACGGGCGGTTCGACCAACTCGATGTATATAGGATTTGATGTCCTTGGGTAACTTGTAATTAATAACCTAAGCAGAAAAATAGTGCAATGAATTAAGATAATAGAAACAGTTTCAGCAAAATCAAACACCTAAAATGGGGTAATAAAGAACATAATTTAGATCACCACGAAATTACTAGTTTTTTTGGGAAAGGTAGGCATAACTCGAGAGCTGCTGAATTAAATAGTAAGAGGAAATTCACGTAAATAGAATAAGAAATGGAGGACAAAGTAAATAACTGTAAAGTTATAATTCAAAACGGGACTACTAAAGAATAGAAACGGATTGTTGAAGAGTAGCTAAAACGAATACGAAACCGAAATAAATTAACGACGAATCGCATCAACAGTTATAGTAACAATTTTGCGAGACTAAATTCAAATCGTCTCAAGGGAAGCCCCGTCTCCTTCAGAGCCAATTTTTAAAAAATGCATGATCATGAACATATTGCAAAGCAGTGTCAGCCACAAGAGTTCAAATATGAGACTAAGCATTTCTAAGATGTTTAATGTTTCTTCGAGTTAGCATGAAGATGAAAATCAAATTCCTGTATTCATCACATTTACTCTTTCATCAGCCATCTAACTTTAGTTTATTAGGATTGGTAGATAAGCGGTTTTGAAATAGACCTTGAGTCAACCGACAAGCCCATTAAACTTACAGTCAGAACACCCGGAATATCCAAACCGCGGGAAGCTAAATCCGTAGCAAGGAGGACATCAACCGGTGGAGGTGAATTTGTCAATGTAGCTTGAGAAGCAGACATCTGTCCTAAATGAAGAGTATCCGCATCGGTGAAACGCCTCAATGCCTCTAAACGCTGCGACTGATTCATATCGCCATGCAATTCTGCGCACTTTACACCAATCAAACCCAAGAGGATATGCATTCGGTGACAGTCCTTCTTTGTGGGTAAGAAAACAATAGTGCGACGTCGGAAAGATCGCACTAAGAGAGCAGCTAAGATCGCCTCTCTATCAACTTCTCGATGTGGCCGAATTCGCACAAACTCCTGGTCCAAATGCGTAGCCACGGCGGTAGACTGATTCAGAAAGATTTTTACCGGATCTTTGAGCGAAACAGTAGCTAATTCACGGACTGTTTCAGTCATTGTGGCCGAGAAGAGCATAGTCTGCCTGCGTGTGCTGCAGTGACGAATAATTTCTTTAATTTGCTCCGTGAAATATTCATCAAGAAGTCTAGATAATGCCCGAAATTAATGTAGCGAATAGCAAAGTCTTACTTATCAGCTTCATCTAAAACCAAATATTCAATTCCATCGAGGGAGAAATTTGGTACATTGGAGAGATGATCAATAAGACGACCAGGGGTAGCAACAACAATATCTGGGTTGGTTCTCAAGGAGGCCTCTTGAGAGGATAAATCTAAACCACCAGCCGCGAGTTGGATTTTCAGCCGTGGACAGTGTTTGGCCAACTGCTCGGCAACTTTAAAAATCTGAACAGCCAATTCGCGAGTTGGGCTGATAATCAGAGCTTTGGTGGATTTACGAGCAGCTAAGGGTGCAAAAACCAACCTCTCAAGAATAGGCAGAAGGAAGGCAAGAGTTTTACCAGATCCAGTTCGCGCACAAGCACAGATATCGCGATTAAGTAAACCCAACGGGATACAAGCACACTGAATTGGAGTGGGGGTAAAAACTTTCATCTCGGTAAGACCTTTTAATAACGGTTTAGAAAGCTTGAAAGAGATGAAAGAATCCAAAGCAGTGTACTTGGAAACTGACTGAGAAAAATTAAATTGCTCATCTTCCTTCTCTGCTTCGCGGCGCTTATTAGGTTTGCGCTTAGCCTTCTCACGAACGGAATCTAATGCTGCATAAAATTTAAACAGTAATTACACTTACCAATGGACTGATTGCCTTCAACTTTTACAGTTTTTTCAGTTCCATGTTCATCATCAATAAGATCGCTAAGGTCATTGGCATTTGCGGAGCGATATTGTTCGATTAATGCATCAACATTGTAGGTAGAGACATTTTTATCAAATGAAATATTGGAAAATTCAGGAGATATAGATTCAGTGCAACCCGTATCAAAGGAAAAAGATGGATTGAAGTCAACCTAAAGATAAAAAAATAAGGGACCACATTACCATCAGAAGATCACGACGAGATAAAAGAAATAATGACCTTACGGCCATCATTCTAAATATATAAACATGGGAAATGACAAAAGATCAATAGATATTTCTCTTAAATTAGTAGCAATCTCATTTATTAAGTTCATAAAAAAACAATATAATTACAAACAAAAAATAAGAATGGATTATTTGCATAACTACTCAAATTTAGTATTTCGTCTTCCATAATTTATAAAAATTAATTTGAGAATGTCTAAAATCAACTTTTAAACTAAAATTATAATAAAGATGGGATATTTGTTTAAATTATTATATATTCACTGATCGTGATTTGTTTGGAACTATTTTCACGTTGAGGTTACAAGATGTATTGTAAAATCGACGTTGAACTCATTGGGCAATTTGGGGAATCATATCCAGTATTATCAGTTTCAAAAATTTTAATTTTATTTTCCAGGGTTATTTGACTGGTTACAAAGGTCCAGATACTTTTGTATTTAAATTTGTTGGAGATGCATGTCTTAATTCTAAAAGTGAATTAGAGGTGTCTCCTTCTCAGATTAGACTTCCTCCTAATGGTTTTCAACATGTATTTCAAGGCTGTGATGTCTCCGTTGGAGATTATGTGGAAGTTTTAGCGGGGAAGCCTTCCCAGTGGGAGTCTGTCGACAACTTTCTTTTGAAGCCTTGTGATCCACCCATGTCTTGGTGGCCAGCTAGGGTAATCAAAAAGGGCGGCGAATTAATCGTTGTCGAATATAGTGAAATCGAAGCCGCCATCGATTCCTCCAAATCTACTAAACCTAGTTTAGAATCTGGTTTGTTTATAAATCAAGTTCGACCTAGAAGTACTCGGAATCATCTTTCTGCATCGGACTTTCATTTTACCCTGCTAGAAATTCCTGGCGAATTTGTCGAACTGTGAGTAGCTGTGTTTTAAGCTCTCAGTTTTTAAATAGGACTAATTTTGTTCATTTTTAGATTCAAGGATCCTTCTAACATCGAACATATTACTCGCACTTGCGGTCCTTCCATGCTGTTATGCGAAGCTGATGGTAATATAGCGTTGCCCTCTACGTTCTCAAGAACCAGCAAGATTGATGGTCAACATGTGACATTCCTAGCGATTTTCACCTCTGACAAGGCGAAATTAAAAGCGGAAACTATCTTTCCAGATATTCCGGAAGTGCTCCGGCGAAAGCATTTGATTCTTAATCAAATTAGTCAAATCAAGGAAATGGCTATTGAAAAAGTATTTGCTAATTGTATTTTTACATGGCTGTTTTATTTTCCTGATTCCATTGCTACGTTTTGATTACGATTTTATTGTAGAAACCCGACTTGTTTTACGAAGAATTTAGGGTTGAGAAAGAACTCCTCGGTCACTCAATCGGTGCCCATGGGACCAATATTAAACGCGCTCGCTCGATAGATGGCATTGCTAGCCTTACTCTTGATCCGGGTACGGGTATCTTCAAGGTCTCCGGAAAGGTAATTTAATTTCATCTAAGCTTTTTTACGTTTTGTTCCTTTTCGTTTATTACTATTACTGTTTTCTAGACTCAAGAGTCAATTGATAGCGCCAAGAGAATACTTGATTTTGCAACTGACACGGTGGAAGTGCCTGAGAACTATGTTGGTCGCGTAATCGGATTTAATAACAATCAAATTCAGTCGCTAGTTGACCATATTGGCTTGGCCAAGATTCGCATATCAGCTCCTGATGCTTCATCTAAAAGTGTTTTCTTTACCGTCACTGGTACTCGCACTGCTATCAATGATGCCAAAGTTTTGATAAGCTTTATGCTCGATAATCTTAAGGAGATTGACGAGTTGGAGGCCCAAGTTTCTCCCACAAACGGACTTAATGGAGGTTTCAATTACCGTAATAGACGAAATAATTATACGTAATTTGATCAACTCTTTATCCATAATACCACTTTTCTTTATAAGACTGCATAAAATCTGTTCCTTCTTAGCAAATCTCGTGCTCCGCATACCAATAGCAAACAAATAATATCCAGTGGTTTGGACGCTTCTTCGTGCCCCGGCGGTGAACTAAACGGAAACCAATCTGATGGTACTGTGATTCGCCGATCTAAGCTTCGACAGCGGAAGAATCAAAATCCTGCTGGCAACAGTATTAATGGAACTAATCAATCCACTAGTATCTCCCGTCAAATCTCTCTTCCTTCAGAGCTTGTGCCTAAACCTAGTACTTTTTGATAGATTGTGTGTTTTTATCTCAGTTCTCCTCTTATAATTGCTTGTTTTCCTTCAGACGAAGTATCCCAAAAACAAGATGCCGAAGAACTAGCAGGCGCTGCTTCTTCTTCAATTTCTTCTCCCAAGCTAAACGAACGATCAAAGCGTGGCAAAGGCGGCCACGCCAACAAAAAAGTCTCCCAACAACCGACTGCTGCTCCAGAGCATGTCCCGTCGTGATCCTCTCCTCGCTGTTCTCGTTTGTTATTGATGTTCTCCACTTTGTTCTCTATCCCGCCCACTTCATAGACGCATTTTCTCTGCACACTAGCTGCCTCATCATCTTTCACGTCTTCCGCACTTAGCATCTCTATTTTGCTAATGTACAAATGAAATGGGGTTTTTAGTTGTGATGACAGTTCCGTTATCTTCTAAGGTTGTGTTCTTTGCCCCCTTATTCTCTCCCCCTTCTACCTCTACCTCTCCCCTTGGTCTTCCTCTTATCTCACTGCGTTTTGAATTGTAAGTGTGTGTACGTTAGGCCACCCAAGAAAGCATTTACTGTTCTGAAGATGTGAATTTTGGCTGTATTTGTTGTTAATATTGTGTGAGTGTGAATTAATATGTAAGAATTGGAATACTGTTAGTGATTTGAACTTCATCTTGTGGCTGCGTAGAAATTAAGCATTTGTTTGGGTCTGTAGGTATTTCGACTTTTACGCTTGATGGTTCTTGTTCGCAATATCCGCTTGTAGGGTCTTGAAGATGTGGGGTTGCAGAGGTATTGTACTATCTCTTGTCTCAAAACGCTAATGCAGTTAGACCCTTGAAAATTCTGCATCTTCTAAATCCTCTCCAACCTAACACTCATAACTTTCAGTTCCTTTCCCGAACTAAAAATAGCAATTTTTGCATTCAGGCATGCAATAATAAGGCAAATTCCATTGTAAATTCAAATTTAGCACAATGCAAGATTCAGACTCTCGTTGATGTTATTGCGACTAATCAAAACCCCTGGGTTCCTATTTTAGTGAATGGCTCTTCTCATCTGCCAATGACGATTTTAATATGGGTCGACCGATAATAATATAGTCCATATCCATACCGTTAGCTTTATGGTATTACATGGGGGATTTATGCTTAAGTGTTGAAGAAAAGCTTAGTGACTTCTGTCTTGGGGAGGGTAGATTTACGAAATGTTTATTTGGCCCTCAAATTGTGATGGCAGTTAAATCGGCCTTAAACTCATATTAAGCTTCTATCAAATTGTCATGAGTATTGTGGGGTGTGCGACGTGGTGCATTCTGGGCAACGTATACTCATACGGCAAAAAGTCTATTAACCGGTGGTTGACTTCTGACTTTAAACTACCATCACCCCACTGTATGTCATATTCGACTTCTTCCACAGTGCTCACCTCACCTTTTTCCTACCTTTGTGTCTGTCTCTTTTATATCTTTGAAACACTCTTCTGTTCCTCCCCCCCCCCCTC